CTGAAATAATAATGTACTAAGAGAAAATAATAGTCAAATAAATGACTGTATAGACACGGACACCATTTTTTAAGAACAGCAAAATACATTTAACTAAAACAAAACAAAACTTAGTTCATAACTAACAGACCCTCACTAAGTTAGCATCTAACTCAGTATACTTCAGAAACTTGTATTTCAGAAGGAAGACAATTACCAAACAAAGATCTCAGATGTAAAAAGGAATGGTGAGGAAAAAAAAGTAAGCTTGCAGGTAAATCTAAACAAGAGTTAACTGCATAAAACAACAGAATAGTGTCTATTTCATTAAAAAAATCAAGACAGAACTTAAATCTTAGAAAATAATAGCAATGGGGGGACTGGGTGGCTCAGATAGTTAAGCATCTGACTTCAGCCCAAGACATGATCTCACAGTTGGTGAGTTCGAGACCCACATCAGACTCTCTGTGCTAACAGGTCAGAGCCTCAAGCCTACTTCGGATTCTGTGTGTCTCTCTCTGCCCCTCCTCCATGCGACTCTGTCTCTCCCTCAAAAATAAATAAACATTGGGGCGCCTGGGTGGCGCAGTCGGTTAAGCGTCCGACTTCAGCCAGGTCACGATCTCGCGGTCCGTGAGTTTGAGCCCCGCGTCAGGCTCTGAGCTGATGGCTCAGAGCCTGGAGCCTGTTTCCGATTCTGTGTCTCCCTCTCTCTCTGCCCCTCCCCCGTTCATGCTCTGTCTCTCTCTGTCCCAAAAAAAATAAATAAACGTTAAAAAAAAAAAAAAAATTAAAAAATAAATAAACATTAAAAAAATAACATAATAGCATATAAATTAGGAATAATGGTAACTGGAGCTAAGGATTTGAAGGTGTTTACCTTATTTGGGAGAAACGCAGAAATACAGATTAACTACAACATAAATAACTAAAGATGATATTAAAATGTCTAGGGTTGCCTCTAAAAGAACAAAAACAGATTAAATTTAACCAGAAGGCAAGAAAGGGAGGGTGGGGTGAGGAAAACATATTAGAACAAACAAAAATCACAAAAGAAGACAGTGGTAATGAATCTCAGTGATTCAGTAAACAGAATAAATATAAATAGACTAAAGTCTCTAAGTAAAAGACAGAATTGTCAGACTAAAAATTCCAAACTTAGCTACATGGTATTTACAATAGGTATATCTAAAACATAAAGATACAGGAAAATAACAGTAATAGACACATTATTAATGCTGCAGAGGGTCATGATACATGATTTGGCTTATAAGCAAGATGAAACAATTTCTAATTTGAGTGTCCTAATAACATAAGCTCAAAATAAATAAAGCAAAAATTGCAAACTACAAAAAGAATTAGGTAAGTCCATTGTAGTGATTTGTGAATCTCTTTCTATAATAGATAGTTCATGTGGACAAAAAATGAATAAAACATCTAAGATTTAAACAACATATTATCATGTGTCATCTTATGGAGACTTATAGAACCCTGATCTCAACAATAATGTATACATAGTCTTTTCAAGAATAGACAGAACTTTTATGTAAAGTGAAGATATTATAGGCCATAAGGCAAGTTTCTCTATGTTGAACTATATGAAATTTGTATTTGTATGTCAAAAACAGTTGAAAATCATTACATATTGTTGAATCTAGATTTCAAATACTCTACAATTTATAGACCAAGACTTCTGACACAACTTTGTTGAAAATTGGTAGCCCCTGCCCCCAAATTTCAATTCCCATATATTTGGAATGTTAAAAGTACCTAAGTAACTGAGGGGTCAAAGAAGAAATAATGAAAATAATAAAAACTTAGAATTAAACACTGAATATTCACTTATCAAAATTGTAGGAATTAGCAAAAATGATACATAAAAGGAAACATATAGCTTATTTTCTTAAAGTCTAAATATTAATGATTTATTCTTCTAATGTAAGAACTTATAAAAATTAAAAAATATCCCCCCAAAATAATAAACAGCAGAAATTAATAAAATAGAAAAATATAATAAAGAGCAACAAACCAAAAGTTTGTTTTTGAGAAGGCTAACAAAACTGATAAACTTCTAGGAAGCCTGATCAAAACAGAGGGATGAAAGAGAGACAGGCAGAGACTGTAAGACTACAAGTAAACATAATTAGAATAAAATATAACTACAGATGAAGCAAGAATTAAAATATTTAGAAGAAAATATTATTAATAACTTTATACTAGCAAATTTGAAAACTTTAGTGAAATGGACAAATTCTATAATAATACACATTCCTGAAACAAACTAAAAAAGAAACAGAGAAGCTGAATACTCCTACAGTCACTGAACAAAGTGAATTCATCGTTATAAAAAAAAAAAACCCCAGCAAGAAAACACCATACTCAAATAGTTTTTACAGGAGAGAAAAGAAATGCAATAAACATATTCCCCAGTTCATTTTATGAAGCTAGCATAACCTTAAAGCCAGACAAAGGCAACATAAGAAAGAGAAAGTACATATCAATCTCACTCATGATAATAAACGTAAAATGTACTAAATCAAATACTATCATATTGACTCCAATTATATTTTTAAAAGGTTTGTTTCATGTACACATGGTTGATTTAACATGAGAAAAATCTGTTCATTTCATTTACTAAAGATCGAAGGAGAAAAATGATATGATCATCAGCAAAACATTAAAAGCATTCTCTCTAAAATCAGTCATACTGCAAAGATGTCTGTTATCTCTATTCCCAACATTTACTGGAGGTTTTGGTCAGTATTAGTGTGCATGCTTACACAGACAGACACACAGAAGAAAGACACACACACACACATACAAATACAGAAGGGCTTGGAAGGAGGTAATAAAATGCCATTATTTTATTTTTTATATCAATTGTCTTCATGGAGAACCCCAAAGAATTAATACATTTATAAACTATTTGGAATTAAAAAGAATCTAGAAAGTTTTTTGTTTATAAGAGCACTACACAAAAGCCAAATGCATGTTTATAACCAACAATAACATTAGAAAAGGTAAATTTCTTAAAAATACCATTTATAATAACTAAAATAGTTTAAGTATAATTATAAAGAATTATAATCCTTTCGACAAAAACATGTAAGAACTTTATGAAGAAAATAGTAAATGTTATTAAAAGATTAAAGAAGATCTAAATAAATATGGAAAAGTACCATGTCCATGGATAAGAAAATGAATTATCCTAAAACTGTCAATTACCCTCTAAAATTAATCCACAGAACTAATACTATTCCCTTCAAAATCCCACCAAAGTTTCTCACAGAACTTGAAAAGATGATGTTAAGATTTATATGAAAAAGAAATGGACAATAGCCAAGGAACTGCTGTAGAAGAAAAACTGGTGGGTGAGCAGGCAGCTAGGAAACTTGACCTACCAGATATCAAAAATTATTTTAGAATTATAATAATTAAGATTGTTGATTTGGCAGTGAAAGAAGAGTTCAGAAAGAGACACACATGTATACAGAAAGTTGATATACTGCAGAGACAGCAGTGCAGATTAGTAGACACAGGACAAATTATTCAAGAAATATGTAAAAACATTTGGAAAAAGTAAAATTTATCTCTATTCTAAATCATACACAAAATTTCAGATGAATTAAGAATCTAAATGTCAATGTCAAAACATTTCAGCTTTAGAATGTATAGAAATATGATAATGATCTCAAGGTTGGGAAAGATTTCTAAATAAAAACATGTTGAAAGTACTAATCATATTATGAGGGAAAAATTTTTAAACAATAAAATTTAGCAGTTTGGTGCACCAAAAGAACCATAAAGGGGTTGAGAAGACAAGTCACAAAATGAGAAAAAATATATAAAACACATGTAACTAACAATAACATCTAGGATATAAAGAACTCCCATAAATCACTATGAAAAAGACAACCCAAAGAAAAATGGACAAAGATTTTTTTTAAGGGGCATTTTACATAAGAGGAATGACAAATGGCTCATAAATATATGAAAAGACATTCAACTTCTTTGGTAATTAGAGAAATACAAATTAAAAGGACAATAAGATACCCAAGTATTGGTTAGGACATGGAGCAATGGGAATTGTCAAACCCCTGCTGGTGGGCAGATAATTGGCTACCACTATTCTGTAAACATTTTGGCATTAGTAAAGCTGAACACGTGTATTCCATGACTAATTCCACACCTAGGAACATACCCTAGAAAATTTTTGCACATATATACCAAAAGACAAATACAAGAATGTATTCTCCTACTTGGAGGGGTCAAAATGAGAACTTAATTGCAAAATGTTTAATTAACCATTATACAACATATTCACCCAAAATTAATATTTATAGAACACATAAATACTCTTTTCATGGACTTCTTATTCATTGTTAAATTCATAATTAATATCCTCTTGTAAATGCAGAGATAAAACACAATGACAAGCCAATTTTTGATAAGGCATGAATGACTTTTTGTTCACACTGACAGGCATATATACTTTAATTACCAAAAACTAAACTGAGCATTTATGAAAGAAAATCCTTTTGGAAGACTACTTCAATTTAATCAGGATTAAAAGTAAATAAAACCTTTATCATCCTTAAATAAAATAACTTTAGCTTTAATACCATGCCTAATCAGAAAATATAGAGAAGAAAACAGTAAGAGTATGGAGAGCCAGGTGTCCCATGGTCTTCCTTAATAACAATCCACTTTCAAGAGACTGTAATCTATTCAACAGAAAGCATTCTACCAAGGATCTTAATCAGATTCTGAGAAAATACACACTCAAAATAAACAATATGCCACTAAAACCAAAACAATGTAGGTATTAGCAGCTATACAAGAGGTTAGCCTCTATCTGATGAGTCATTTCTAGAATGATGAAAGTCTACGTCTTTGAAGTGCTTTCTATTCAAACTGGAAAATATATAAAGGTAGGAATCACTTTCAAAGCAGGTTGACTTGAGAAATTTTCCTTCACTTTACATACTTTTATTTGACTCTATGCAAACATCAAACTAAGAATGGCAAAAATGAGTCTCTCTTCCTACATATTAATACTAACTTTTTCTCTGTTTTCTCAAGGCATTTTACTTTCAGCATCCAAGTCCATAAGAAATTTAGAAGATGACATGGTATTTAATACATTTAGGCTGGGGAAAGCTTTTCAGAAGGATGATACTCCTCAAAAATCAGTCGTCGTTCCTTCTCTGGAACAATATAAAAATGATGAGAGCAGTTTCATGAACGATGAGGAAAACAAAAATTCAAAGGTAAGTGGCAATGGGACTTATCCTTTTTTCAGTGGAAATCTGAATGATGTTTACAATGCTTTTGAAAGTAAAATTTTATAAAAATATATGCAAGCAGTCACATTATGCTTTAGGACAACTGATGAAATTTCGTACCATAGCAGGTGGTTTTTCCATTCTGGACAACACCTCTTATCCAAAAGGTTTTTCCCAAAAACCTGTATCTAATGTATTTTTAAAGAGTCAAAACAGTACAGAGCCATCTTTGAAATGATCAGTGAGAATACTATACAACTATATTATAGTTCTATTCCCAATAAGACAGCTAAAACACAAATCAACCTTTTCTTTACAGAACACAGGCTCCAAACATAATTTCTTAAATCATGGTCTGCCACTGAATCTGGCTATAAAACCTTATCTGGCACTAAAAGGATCTGTAGCTTTTCCAGCTGAGAATGGAGTTCAGAATACTGAATCAACACAAGAAAAGAGAGAAATTGGGGATGAAGAAAACTCAGCTAAATTTCCTATAGGAAGGAGAGATTTTGACAGTGAGTAGTCTTTTTAAAATTCAATTCTTACATCTTAATACTATAAAAGAGAATTCTGACTTTAAGTGGATCTGGATCCAATCTTAACAAAATCAAGTAAGACCATGGTTCAATTACACTTGACATTAAGTGCCCCCTGCCACAGATGTGGGATTAAAAAGAATTTAAGAGTTATTGTAATACTGACTTACTCAGAATTAGCTGTATAAGATCCATTCTCTTATTTCTAATAAATTTTGTGTGATAATAATAGTCCTGTAGACAATTTAAACTTTTTTATTCCTTCAGTGCTCAGGTGCATGCTGGGAAGAGTCTATCGACCTTGTTGGCAAGTCTGAAACCTGCTGGACCACATCTTTCCTGAAGAAAACAAAATCATTTAATTGTCTGTCCAGGAAAAAGCCCTTAATGTTACTATGACTTGTATTATTTAAAATGTCTGTTTTAAAATAAAGTAAATAAATCTGTAACTTAAATGATATGCTTTATCTCTGCATTAAACTTTGTGAATATTCTGCATAATTATGATTTATGAGTATTTTTTAAATGCTTAACACACTAACCTTATATACACTTCAGACCAATATAATAAAGAATCATAACTTATACCTTGATCTCTTTCTTAATTTTTTTTAATGTTTACTTATTTTTGAGAGAGAGAGACAGAGACAGAGCATGGGTGGTGGAGGATAGAAAGAAAGGGAGACGCAGAATCCGAAGCAGGCTCCAGGCTCTGAGCTGTCAGCACAGAGTCCGTTGTGGGGCTCGAACCCATGGACCACGAGATCATGACCTGAGCTGAAGTCGGACACTTAACCGACTGTGCCACCCACGCGCCCCTATACCTTGATCTCTTAAAAATTAAGTAGATGCCTTTGGTGAATGGTTTAATATATACAGAAATCTAAAGCAAATAAAAAACAAATTCATAGTCTAAAATATTGAGTTAACTTTGTCTGGCCAGTAATCAATTTGTCCTTGCCTGTACAGTTGTTGCTTTTTGCTACTCTAGCTATTTTGCCACACAATTTATTCTGGAAATTGTTTGATGTCTTAGGTATTTTAAAATTTTTATGTTGAGATGGTTCATTTCCACTATCACAAAGATTATTTTCATCATCTAAATCCACCTGTTTCCTCTTTGAGCTTTTATTTCCTGTCTTACTACTTGATTTCCTTGCAACTTTTTCACTTTTACTTCTGTCCAGATGAACATTTCCAGAACTCGTTCCAACTGTTGGTCTTCTAACAGATGAATTTACACCTTCTGTTATGCAAGATGAAAAGAGGAAAGAGATTACATAATATTTAGTATTATTACCTATGAAAATTTTACAATAAAGTTTAAAATTCACTAAAGAATATTCAAAAATTTGATTTGCAATCACATAACACCATAAATTACATGATTAGCAAATACAGCCATATTACTATCACATTAATTTTCATTTTCCCCATATCACTTTTTACCCATACAAACAAATATTTGCTTTGTTTGAATGCATGACACTTAACCCTTAAATACTACAAGTGATTTCTTAAATACATTTAGTTGAATGAAACTGTGTCCTATTCCTCCTAGATTTGTACATAGATATAACTTTTTAAATAAACTCAGGTCTTAAAAATATAAACCTTTACATTTCACATTTCATACTTTTCAAAACAAAATCTAGTTTTATTTAAGTTGAAACTAATTAATACACTAGAATTAAATTGTTATTTAATTACTCAAATAAGGTCAATTACCAGAAAGGTCATTTTCCATGCGAAGTACATACAAAGGCTCTGATGCTGAATTAACATCATTCCATTTATCCTTGCTTATTATGCAGTCCTCTTTATAAGTACAAGCAAACTGGGATCTAATTAAGGTTTGCTTCATCTAGTAACAGAAAGAAGAAAGTATACAATTTATTTTGATTTATTTTGATTTATTTTTTCATCTAAATAGAAATATACTCTGTATTAATCAAGAGATCATAAAAATTTCCCTTGGGGCACCTGAGTGGCTCAGTCAGTTGAGTGTCCTACTCCTGATTTTGGATCAGGTCATGATCCCAGAGTTGTGAGTTCGAGCCCCATGTCAGGCTCCGTGTTGAGTGCGGAGACTGCTTAAGATTCACTCTCTCCCTCTGCCCCTCTCCCCTGCTCACTCTCTTGCTAAAATATTTTTTTAGTTGCCCTTAAAAATCCCATTATTCACTGGGAACTTTTAACACTTGATGTTTCATAATCTGCAAACTCATTCTTTGCTACAACTGGCATTTTTGTTCTTTTCAGTAATACCACCTTTATGCACATTTAAAAAATTTTTGTAACAGTTTAGAAAAATCAATTTGAGACTCCAGAATATGTGAATACTTAAATATTTAGGAAAATAAGAAAGATGATTCAAATATATCATTCTAGGAAGATGTGACCAAGAGATTTAATGGTCCAATATTCAAAATAAACGCTCACATTTATCTTCAAAGATCATAAGTAGGAGAAAATCAGAAAGCGAAATTTAATTCTCAACCACTAAAAAGGACGTCAAGGAAGTAGTTTTGGAAATGTACTCTGCAAACATAAAACCAGTGGCTGATTTAGGGAAAGAAATTAATTTCAGAACAAAGTAATCTATATGGACAATGCAAATTTCAGTAATTACAGTTGATATATAATGACACTTAGTTATAACTTGCAGATATCTCCAAATTGAGATGTCAAATCCCTTTCAGAAAAAGATGTTTAAATTTAAGATAAATGAGGGGCACTTGGGTGGCTCAGTCAGTTAAGCGGCCAACTTTAGCACAGGTCATGATCTCACGGTTTGTGGGTTCGAGCCCCACATCAGGCTCTGTTTTGACAGCTCAGAGCCTGGAGCCTGCTTCGGATTCTATGTCTCACTTTTTTTCTGTCCCTCCCTTCCTTGTGTTCTGTCTCTCTCTCTCTCTCTCCCTCAAAAATAAACATTAAAAAAAAATTTTAAGAAATTTCAGATGAGTAAATATTAAAGAGGACTTCAACAATTCAAAAATTTAATACTTCAAGAACTACATTATCTGGAACATTACTTACAAAATATTGATTGATACAGTTCATAGTCTAAAACAGCACTTTTTATTTCATATTCAGCAATTAAGTATTATACATTCAGAGAGATCACTGCATTAACTCAGATGTTTACAAAGATAACGGCAGTGAAATACAGACTATGATTTAAAAGGAATTAGATTAATCCAGTTGCTTCATAAAAGCAAGTGTTCCTGTCGTAGACTCTAAGTCTAAAGTTCTTTCTTGGCCAGCAAGAAAGCGGGACGCAGGATTAAAAGCGAGAGATGGCTAATGTCCGGGAAAAGACAAGAGCCCCGAATAAGGGTCCTTGCTCCGTATTTATTAAAATCAGACAGCTTACAAATGTGATGGGCATGCAAAAAGAGACAATGAATCTGTGAACATTAACTCACGGGCATGAGAGAAAAGGGGGTTTTGAAGATACATGGTATTTGGGGTTTGGGTCAATATAAAACAAAATCCTGGCACCTGGTAGATGGGCAGATGGTTAGATGGTTGTTAACGGCAGGACAGGAGGCATCATGTCTGTTTATCTTAGCTAGCCTAAGAGATAAGACAGATGGGGCAAATACCTTCAGGGTTAACAAGACACCTTTTCTTTTGCTAATCAGCTCTGCTCTGGATAGCTTCAGCCCTGGAATCTATAGCCCTATATACCTATTTACCTAATTTGGTCCTTCCTTCCTGTGAAAGCAGCTCTCTGCTATACTACTAAGTTGGGGGATGTTTTTGCCCTGAATGCCTAATCTTGATTACCTCATATACCTTTATATTGGGGGACTTTGCCCCCCTCTCTATTCTGGAGCCTTTGGCCCTCCCTCTCTATCCTGGGGGCCTTGGTCCCTCCCAACTTTAATCTGGGGTCCTTTACCCCTCCCTACTCTATTCTAGGGTTCTTATTCAGTTTACCCAAGCTTGGGTGAGAGCAACCTAAGGCTTTGTAATTGGTGTAAGCCCAGGGAATTTCTAAGCTTATTCCCCACATGTTCCCAGAGTGACATGTTTACGTCCTTCTAATGGTGTCTATGAGAGCTCCAGTTCCCATAACACTAAAAATTATGTTTAATTTGTTTACAAAATTAAACAACTGGAGTTTGATATCTTCCATTTTAAGCATAAAAATTCACAAAATTGAAAAAGAAATGTGAAAATGTAAAAGATCAAACACTATTTGAAATAGTGTAAGAAAGTGGCTCTTGATTATGGATGATGGAACTATAATCCAATATCCTCCTGAATCCACATGAATACAACTACTATTATACATTTTCCATCATGAGATCCACTAAAATATAACTAGCCCTTTCTGGACTTTATTAATTCTATACATATAGAATTAAAGCAAATGATAAAGCCATTAAAATACATTTTGTTAATAAAATGAACTTCGTAAAGTTTATATTGCACCACATCATTACTCTAGTAACATTATCAAAAACTTTTATTTCTATCTGCAAAACCAGTACTAACAATTGACATTATCTCTTTATACATTTCTTTCATTTCACCAGAGTTATTGCTTATAACGAATTATAAACTAATTGCCCATAATGAGTTGTAAAGAGTACAGCAAGACCATGAAGGCAAATGAATGCTAAGTGGCTGGCTAGGATCATTTCCATGGTACCCAGATAGTGATAGCCCCTGTGGGTGGCTTAGACCACTTTAGCGTCCCACACTCTGAAAAAATATACAATAATTATTTACTACAGACAACTGATGTTTTCTCAGTCTCACATTTAGCAAAAATAAACATTTCTTTAGAAAGCAGTGTCATTTTTTAAAATATTTATTTATTTTTGAGAGATAGAGACAGAGTTTGAGCAGGAGAGGGGAAGAGAGAGAGGGAGACACAGAATCTGAAGCAGGCTCCAGGCTCCGAGCTGTCAGCACAGAGCCCAACACAGGGCTCAAACTCACAAACTGCAAGATCATGACCTGAGCCAAAGTTGGAGGCTTAACCAACTGAGCCACCCAGGGGCCCCAGAAAGCAGTGTCATTTTTATTGTTGACATACAACTAAGTAAAAACCTCTCCTTGTTATGTAAATACAGTTACAGAATAAGTGTCATAGCCCTTGTCACAACTACATTTCCTTTCTTTAGGCCCCCTATAGAGAAATTCTTGAGGCTTAGTGACAGTAGGATAATTTCAGAAGCCAGAATTATAAAGCAATGGATTCCTAAAATACTGAGAATAGATTCAGATGTGAAAGGAAATAGTTAACCACTTTATTACACCATAAAAAATATTATTTATAAAAATATCAAAACATGAGAACCACAACTGTTCTACAGTAATCTTGGAATACTTATGTTCAAAAGAAATAACTGAGTAGTTACAATGAAGGTATGAAGGTATTTTTTTTTTTCTTTCTGTAAAAGATTACACGTGGGTTTTCTTTCCCCACCCTGTACAAAAATCTCTTTTTTTAAAATCAATTATGACTTATTAAGTTCCAACTATGTAATAAACAGGCACACAGAATACTAAAGGGATTACTTAGATGGCTTCTATAATCACAAAGGTATTCTACTTATAAAACCTGCTGTTGACACACAGCTGGAAGAAATAATAAATAAATTGGATATCAGACTCAAGATTGAAAAGATGTCAGAACACTAGAACCATAAGTAGAAAATAATAAGATGAAAATGAATGAGGATAAACAAAGTCCTGTATTTAAGTTCAAAATATCAGTTACAGATGAGGATGACGAAAACCTGACTTAAATGCAATATATGAAAAAGACCTAGAGATTTTCATTGATTGAGAACTTGACTGGAGCCAACAATGTGATGTCCAGCTAAAAAAAAAAAAAAAAAGCAAAACCAGCACAAAAAGACAGTGATGTGATTGGAAAGGCTCCAGATTTGCAGTTAAAAGACGTGCCTTCTAAAACTGGCCCTATCACTTATAAACTGGATATTTCGGGTAAACCTCTGAACCTCTCACTTATCCACACATAAATGGGAATAATATTAATCTTACAGAACTGTCAGAATTAAGTAAAGTTAAAAATAGGAAAGGACCATATAAGCTCTAGAGATCCATGTAGATGCCATGCAATTAATTAACGTAGTAGCATATATGAAGACAGTTTCCTATACAGTAAGAAATCTGTTAAATTAGAGTTCTCACGACCAGGACAACTCTAAAATTATTCTAGGAATGCAACTCAAAAACTGAACTTACAATCAACATCTTCATTTCAGTTATCAAAACAATACAAGCTGCATTGGCTTGTATTTGTAACTTAAAAGAGATTGCTTTTGTTCATAAAAGTTGAATTTTTCTGCACAAGATTAGTGGCTACATAGAATTGAGATTACTTCCTGTTGCAAATCTTCCAAATCTCTCTGTGTATTTGATTTGGAATCACAAACAAGCAAAACAATTCCCTCTTGAAACTGCTTTTGAAATACTAAACAACTAAGAATAATGTCCAGATTCATACATGGCTGTTAAAATCATTTTATGTTCAAGTCACATGAGAGAAAAGGATTGAACATTTTCCTTTGTAGAGTGATTTCCCCCCTTTGGAAAGATTTCTATCCACAGTAAAATTGCAATGAACTTCAAACTTGCCAAGAATTGGAAAAGTCCTTTTGCCACAAGCTCTTTTTAAATTGGAATTATTAGTAAGTTCCCAGTTTGAGGAAAATAGTACTTCACATAGGAAAGCCTGACTCTAGCTAAATTAAGACAAATGAGTCAAAATACTGTAAAGTTGCAGTCACTCTCTGAGTTAGGTGTATTAAGATAATGAAAGCGCTAAGCCCCATTATGTTGATAAATAAATCAACAAGTTTGAAAGAGGAATTT